GTAGGAGCAGAAGTAGTTGCATAAGTGTTTGTTTTCTTAGTTAAAGACAAATTTTTCAAAATCATACACGAAACAGCAATCTTAATTAATTTTGTTTGCTATTATATGAAACCATGTGATATTCCCCCTAATTGAGAAAGGATCATTCTAGAAAAGGACAAAAACGAAAGCCAAATGATTTTATGCTCCCATAGGAGCAAACTATCCATTTACTCCCTCAGGCAACGGCCAAGCTAGAGGTATTTTTAACCCTAAGTTTTGAGAATGTATCCTCTAATCCCAACAGATTAATTCCAATTAAAAAATAGATAAATTCAAATGCACACTCTACGTCTCAAAATTGAATGAGCACCATCTAATAATCAGACAGCAAGATCCAACTCCAACTGTTAAATTGCTCAAAATATAATTTATTTTTTTTAAATAATCGACTGATGACATTTAAATAGATCCAAAATTTTCAGCTACAAAAAATCTTTACAAGTACATCCTTTACCTGAGGGAGCAGATGAGCAGTTTGCTCCTTCTGAAGTACAGTATATAAGCTGGGAAGAGAGATCTTTTTGGAATTTCCTTCGTGCGTTTTGCGCCGATATCACAAATATCAAAGTAAGATACTGGAAGAAAGTAAAAAGTAAGATATTAGAAGAAGCGCGCAGTTTTCGTACGGACGCCTCCGTAGGTGTAGAGGTAGTGCCTGTCAAATTTTATCGGGGTATATAATTTTGATATAAAATGTTACGAGGATTAACTCAAAATTTATTTTTATATTTAATAATAAAATTTTAAATTTTAAAAATAATTAAAATCAAATAGATTTATAAACATATAAAAATCTTAAAAATGGATGGTGTAGATAATATGTTATAAAATACACTATTTTTTAGATTTAAAATCTTTTCGTTTTTCATAGTCATACATCTCTACGTTGAGATAATTAATAAAAGGGTTTTTCGACATTAAAACTACCTTTTCCAATAAATTTTTGAAGGGCATCCGTGGTCTAAAGTGGCACCCTTATATAAACTTTTTCTTTAGAGAAGTAAAATAAAAAGTAAAAAGTAAAAATTAAAAAAAGGGTCCATCTTTTTGTCCTCTTTTCTCCTCTCTTCTTCTTTCTCTCTTCTTTGTCTCCTTTCTTCGACTCTCTTCTTACCCATTCTTGTCTTGTCCCTGTTTCCCTCTTCTTTCTTCCATGTGCACATGTGGGTGTACATTATTATTTTTAATAAAATTTATTTATCATTCAAAATAATAAAGAAAAAGTTTATACAAGTGTGATGCTCTAAACAATCAAATTATAGTGCACCTAAAAACTCTTTTTAGAATAGGTTGTTTTGATGTTCACATATCTTCAAATTGATCATCCCGACATCAAAATGTATGGACATAAAAAAAAATATAGATTTTAAGTTTTGGATATAGTGTATTTTATAATATATTTTCGGACCATTAATTTTTAAAATTTTTAAATTTTCATAGATATGTTCGATCTATACTATTTTTAAAACTTCAAATTTTATAATTAAAAACAAAAATATACTTTAAAATTATCACAAATATTTTCAATATTGAAACCACATTTTTCAGAATTATTTGAAGGTGCGCTTTGCTTTGATTGCAATGCAAACCGTATACGAATAAAAAAAGGTAACGTACCTGGCCTGAAATATACCTCACATTCATAAAGCTCCAATCATCCGGCCGTCGTTTTTGACTTTGTAAAAAGTAAAGACCACAGTTATTTCTTACCATGTGCGATTGACCTCCACCATCCACCATACCTTACCTTTTCACTACTTTTCATGAATAACCAGCATCTACTCCGAAACGTTTGGTTTGCGAAATAGTTTTCCCGTTGGAAATTAATTTTTTAAAAAATAATTTTCTTAGATTTATATTTCACATTTTTTTCTTATTTTTTTCGGCGATCGGTAATATTATCTAGATTTTATATGAAATTGTTTTCTTTCATTTTTAAACTCTTTTGGAATCTACCCTCCTAGAGTATGGAATGTAAGCTCTTTTCGCTTTAGGAATCCAATCTCCTTATCTCTTTTAAAAAATTCAATCCTCTCTCTCTAAAACCCGTCGTTAGAAACCCTATTTCTCTTTTTCTATCTAAAATACTGTTTTCTTTTTTCGAAAACCCAATCTTTTTTTTCTTTTTTAAAAATCTATTATCTTTCTCTAACTAAAAACCCTTTCTCTCTTTAGAAACTCAATCTCTCTTTTTCTTATTAAAGGCCCATTCTCTCTTTCTCTCTTTAAAAACCCAATCTTTTTCTCTAAAAAATCATTTTCGCTCTAAAAACTAAATCTCTCACTAAAAACTCATTCTCTCTAAAAATCCAATCTCTCTTTCTTTATCTAAAATTCTATTCTCTCTCCTTCTCTAAAACTCATTCTCTCTCCAAAAACTATTCTCTTAAGAAACCGAATATCTCTTATTTTTTTAAAAAACTTATTCTCTTTCTCTCTCTAAAAACTTATTCTCTTTCTAAAATTTTATTTATATTTCTCTCGCTAAAAACTAATCTTTTTTTCTAAAAACCTATTATTTTTCTAAAAACTCAATCTCTCTTTCTCTCTCAAAAAATCCCATTCACCATCTGAATGTGCGCCATAACTTTTAAAAAATCATTTTCATACGAATCAAATGTGCTCCAAATGTTATCGAGAGAAGTTAAAAAAAATTGAAAACAGGAAACCAATGGCACCAAGTTAATCATACTTCCCCTTTCACCGTCTGAATGCGTCCTAGGGACATTTTTCTATGAGCATGTATACTATGCTCACCTCTATTCACTTGGTGAAAGACTTATTTGAGAGGATTTCTTTCAATCTCAAATTTGGAGAACCACTTCAAAATTACTAGATGATTATCATAGAAAAAAAAACATTTGAAATTTGAGTTTTCTAACACTTCGATCTTACATCTAAAAATTAAAGGGTGTGGTTTCCATAAGGTTGCAACCTTAAACAAACCATTTAAAATACACCTTTACATTTTTATCATAACATATAATTTTGATGTAAAATGTTCTTAAGATTATCTCAAAATCTATTTTCAAATCTAATTATAAAATTTTAAACTCTAAAAATGATTAAAATCAAGTTGATCTATAAACATATGAAAATCTTGAACATGGACAGTCTAGATAATGTGTTGTAAGATGCACCATTTTTGGGACTCAAAATCTTTTTTTTTTTTTTATATAGTCATGCCCTTCGATGTCGAGATGATCAATTCAATATTAAAAATATTTACCAATAGATTTTTGAGGTGCTTCCGTAGTTCTACATTTTAAGGTTGCAACCTTATATAAACCTTTTTCAAAATTAAATGGTCTCTACTTAACCTCGATATATTTTTTTCAAGTGTATAAAGGGCACAAATAAGAATTATTTTTAATTGAGGTTAGTCCATAGGTTGAAGAGATTAGTCCATACATAGGTTGAAGAGGTTATATGTCCAAAATTTTAGGGTCCTAAAATTAATTCGAGGTAGAGTTTTACCAATGGGAGTAAATGAACAACCTACTCCTATGGGAATAGATTCCTTTTGGCTTTTACTATTAAAAAATGAAATACAATCTCACAAACAACCATCACGTGCTTGTCACCTCAAGCGAAAACGTAACAATCCTCAAATGTTCCCGTGTGCGTGTGGCATACTCCAGGGGCTATGCTCCTGCAGGAGTATACTGTAAATTTATGCCCTTGGGTGAAAGTGTTGTTTAGTAAAAAAGTTCCGATCTAAATTTTTTGGAATTAAAACCACATAATAAGCGTCAAAAAAGGAAATTTTGATTTCAATATACAGTTAGGTCTAACCCATTGTTCGCAAAATTGCCCGATCTAACCGCTAACCACCTGGTTAGATCGGAACTGGCCAGTGATCGATTCCGGTTTTAGGCGGTTAGGGTGATCAACCGGTATTTTTAAAAATAAAAAAAATATGTATATAAATTCTTAAAAATAAATAATTTGATTTGTAATGTATTTTTAAATATTCTTTACATTTTAAAAATTGTTTTGGTTAGTAATACTCACTTTTATATTTTCCTATCTTGTTTAGAAAATTTTTAAAATAGCCCTTGAAAAATATAAAATTAGTTAAAATAAATTTTTTTTCAATAATTTTCAACTTCATTTGAATATGTTTTTTTTTAATCATTCTTTATATGTTTTTCATATTTTAGTAGTTCTTTTTTTTTCAATGCTTTTTTTACAGCCCAGGATTTGCCCGATTAGGGAGGTTGAATTGATCGGTTTACCGGTTAGACTGGTTAAACCGCTACCAGGCCCATGTCCGGTTAACCGTTCCGGTTCAATTTTGCAAACACTGGTCTAACCCCCTAAAAATTAATGGGTGTAGCTTGTATGAAGTTGCAACGTTAAACGATCAAATTAAGGTGCAGCTCCAAACTTTGTCATAAGATGCAAATTTGATGTCGAAAATTTTTAGGATGGCACCAGAATCTATTTTTATCTTTAATTATAAAAATTTTAACTCCAAAAATAATTCAGATCAAGCAAATCTACATATGCATGAAAATCTTGAAAATGGACGGTTCGGATAATATTTTGGAAGATGTACTAGTTTTGGACCTCAATTCTCTTTTCTTCTCCATATCTATACATATCGATGTCAGAGATGATCAATTAGATGTTTTTCCAACGTCAAAACAACATTTTTTATGGATTTTAGAGATGCATATTAATTCTACATATGGAAATCTATCAGGTTCAACTTTTAAGGCATTATTTTCTGAGCCACATACTGAGTGTGTTTAACTTTTTTTTCAATTTTCAAATTTTGAGTAAATGGAAAAAGTACTCCTGTGGGAGCAGAAAATATGTATATAATTGTTTTTTTGGTCCATTGTACATCTTGAAGTGTGTATTCATATCTAAGGGCTAATGTGGCCAGCCCAAACACTATGTTGCCAAGTGTCACTCTACCATAGGCTGCATCAACTATAAAAGGCACTCCACTTAGGAGCTTTAGCAACAAAGCCAAAGATGGTGCTCAATACTAAGCTACTGGTGTTGCTTCTTGGGGTGTTTGTTCTCTCCACTTACTCAAATGCTGAGTTTGAGTTTGAGGAGATGAAAAAACCCCCAGGTCACAAGCCTCCAGTATACAAACCACCTCCAAAGCATAAGCCACCCCATAAGAAACCACCACCTCATGGTGGCCACCCTCCTAGTGAGGAAGAAAACACTCGGGATGAGCTTCTCTATAAGCCACCTCCAGTGCACAAGCCCCCAGTTAAGAAGCCACCAGTCAAGAAACCTCCTCATGGCCACTACCCCGGTCACCCTCCGAGCAAAGAAGATGACGAAGCCAAGGAGTCCCTCGCCTCCTACAAACCACCACCAATGCAACGACCTCCGGTGAAGCCTCCCCCAAAGAAGCCGCCACCCCACTACAAGCCGCCCCCTTATCACAAGCCACCATACTAAGAGAACCAATCACCATGCATCCATGTCTAGTTTTCTGCCTAAGCCAGTGCAGCAAATAAAAGTGTTTGTCTCTCCAAGTTATTAAGCAGTATTTAGAGTTTTAAGCCACTAGGTTTCTATATAGGTCATTTTGAGCTTTGAATAAGAGGAAACAATGATAATGATGTTGTTATGGTCTTTGTGTTGTCCACCCTTGTATGAATAAGTATAGTTTTGTATGAGAACTTGTGTTGCATTCCATATTTGCATACTTTTCAATATTTAAGTTTTCTAAAACTGGTTTCTCATAATTTTTGTCCTAATTTCTACCTCATCCACCACGCTCCATTTTTTCACTCTAGAAAATGAATCCATGAAACTCGGATAATATACAAGATAAGGCCAAGAATTACTCACTCCTCGAAATAAATTTCACTAAAATGAATTTGGAGGAAGTGCTTTCTACGCGTTGGGAAACTCCTTTTAACTTTTGTATGAAATTAAAGTAAATAATGAGAATTTAGAGTTCAACAACTAAGAGATGCAGGTGGCTAAAACCTCATTAAAAAAAGAACAATTGTTTTATGTGGGCTGGACCGTGTTTCTACAATATGCGGTCCAGAGGTATAAAGCATCCATCTTAATGATGGATGCAAATAGGCGGTCCATCTAAAAACAATTGTAACTAACGGTCCAAAATTTTTTCTTGATATAATTATTATTTTTAGTTTTCAAAATTTATTTATTTTTTTCATATTCATGATCTCCATATTGAAGATTATATATTCTCTAAAAATTAGGATCAAATTATATTTAAAATATATATTTATTGCCAAGCGTGCATTTCTACTACTATATGTGGGCTGGCCGCATGCTAACCGCATCGTTAAAAATAAATAAATAGTATAGCCACATTGATTTCCTCATTTGTAGAGATCAAATTAGATATGGCACTATGATAGTGACTTAGTTTCTCTTTTATTTTGAAAAAAAGAGGGGCGATTGGAAGAGGAAGGCACTGAAGTCCTATATCAGGATAACGAGTCGTTGCATGATTTGAACAAAAAAAGAAAGGTGTCTTAGTGTTTCTTATACCTCATGACAAGATACAAAGTCTCTTTTTCTTTCTCTCCTCTCTAGGCTGGCAATGGCGCCGCGGCTAGGCTCCGCGCCACCCCGCTTGGCCACAAATTGTAGCCCTATGGCTGGGCTAGGGCAAGTGCCGGCCGAGCTCTCGTTTTCTCTCACGTTTATGTTTTCTTCATTTGTTCTTGGCATGACGGAGCCAAGCTTGGGCCAGCCCCTTTAGAGACAAGACCTAGGGTTAAGACTGGCCTAGCCCCGCCCAGCCCATTACCACCCTTGCTCTCCTATATAAATTGTAGAGATAGAGAGTCGAATAATAATGGGGCATAAAATGAGAAGAATAACTCGTTAACTTATTTCTCTTTGATATACTTTTCCCACTATTGTCATTGAGATGACACTTAAGGGGTAACACATCTTGGTGTCATTTGGAATGATTGATTGGGAAGAATTAGACATAATATAGAGCCAAAAGGTTACTTCCTGCGGACCCTACTGTATACTTACTCTAATCGGTGATATTATATAGATAAGAGGACGAATTCAACTCCATATTGTAGGGACATCACCTCCTCAACCCACCCACCATCCTCAGAAAGTAAAAGATTTCACATATCCTATGTATGTGTGAAAAGATTTCATGAGTCTTCGAATGAGTTTTGGCCCAAGAAAGAAAGGTGTCTTAGTCTTGTTATATTTCGTCCGCAAGGAGCCGCACATCATGACAATATACAAAGTTCTCTCTCTTATTTTGGGAGTATAGTTTATTTCTACTCCCTCGGTCAAAAGGCTTATTTAAGAGATTTTTTTTTATCTAAAATTTTGAGAACCACGTAAGAACTACTAGATGATATTTCTTATAAAAAGAATCGAAATTTGAGCTCTCTGACACTTAGATTTCGTCATTTAAATATGAGATTGTATACAATGAAACTATTTATCTTTGATACAAAGTAGCCACAATTCTTTACAATCATTTGATGTGAAATTTGATAGCGTCGATGTGTCACAAAGTTCGAGAAAATTTCTTTTGAAGTTTATGCTTGGTCAATGGAATAATTGTAGCCACTTAATTTCACATCCAATAGTTAAGATTAATGTGACCACCTTGTATCAAAAGTAAATGGTCTTATTCTATACTTTTTCCTTTAAATATTAGATTCTTTGTATTCAATTTGGATGAGATATTACAATTAGTATTTTATTTTTCTTTTGAGATTAATATACGAGTTAAAGAGGTTACATATCTAAAATTTAATATCCTAAAATTAGTTCTAGGAAAGGATTTACTGGAGGGAGTAAATGAATATTCTATTTCCACTTGAGTAGAATATGTTAAGTCAAAGTAGAATGACAATGGGGCACAAAAAATTAGAAGACTAATGCGGCATTGTATCACCGTTTTCTTCCTCTATAATTCTCCTAGACTTTCCACCCTTTCCTTATCCTTTGGTTACTGCTTTCACTGACATGATGGCCAAAAAGATTGATTGGTGACATAATGTAGAGCAAAGAGGTTACGTGTTCCTGTGGACCATACTGTAGGTTCACTCTCTTCGGTGATGTTACATGTAGTATGTAAGAGTACATATTGAACTCCATATTTTAGGGACATCATCTCCTCAACCTAGTAAACAGCCTCAAAAACAGAAAAATGTTCACATATCTTATGTATGTATGAGAAGTACCAACTTAAGATTGAAAAGTAACCGTCCAGTTTTTGAATAGTTTACTATTACGAGTCATTTGGGAACCTGTAGACCCCAAAACGAGTTTTCACATAATCTAGTTTTCACTCAAAATAGTGTTCGGCTCAATAAAAAATAATAAAAAATAAAAAATAAAAAAAATCTCACAACGAGTTTTCTCACATCTCCAAAATGACTAAAAACTAGAATAAAGATTGGGAAAGGTTTCTATGCTTCCCCATACAGCATAGAAGTTCTATCCTTCCCCTACCATCCACCCGTCCAATTTTGATCAAGAGAGCCACTCACCGTCTGATCTTAGATTTGACGTCTCAAAGTATCTTATTTTTAGTTTTTTTCTTCAAACTGTATGAATATGAAATTTGGTACGTGTCATCTTCTCATTGGGGCGCACTTATAAAAAATATTAAAAATATTTTTTTGATAAAATATAGTGACCAAAATATCCCTGGAATTTTTTAGGCGTATTTTTATCATTTTATTTTATTGAAAATATTTTTTTTATATTTTTGCTAGTGCGAGTTTAATAGAGGATTGGGGGTCCAAAATTTGGTATCAAAATAGTTTATAGAAAAAAATTAAAAACAAAATAGTGTAGAGACGTGACATGGTGATTGGGGCAATCTTAGCCCTCCATTCAGAATATACGGTTGATAAAGGGGAGGATAGAACTTCTATGTTGTAGGAGAAACATAGAAAGCTTGCCCATAAAGATTTACCCCAAAATACGTGGATTACTTTTATTTTAGTTTTTGTTATTTCCCGTGTCACTCGAATACCACGCAGCCCGTTGCTCATCTTTTACTATATTTTATTCCTCATCTTTCTTTGTTTGCATAGCCCTCCTCTGCCATTGAGAAGCAATATGCAAAGAGCCCTCTTTCCGCCATCTCTCACATATATTTTTACCAAGAGCTCGAAAAAGCCATTGTTGGTAGAATCATTAGTAGGTCGAGCTCCATTGTTCTTGGGTTTTTTCGAAAGTCATCAACCTCTCATCCGCCATTAACAATAGAGCTCCAAGTTTTGTTTTTTGTTTTTTGTTTTTTTCCTGTAAACCTATTTTTCTTGCTAGGGTTTTGTTGGTTCTTCAATCTCTATATTTTTTTCTCATGATTTTTTATATATGTTTATTAAATAATGAGGATTGTATGGATTCACCACAACCGGTGCATCCCGGATGCACCGAATCCGGATCCAAACTATAAAGAGGGAATTCTAAATATATTGGGTTCCTCCAAAAATATTACAAATACAGATTACACAATTCGGGAGCAGATTACACAATTCGGGAGCTATATAGTAACTGGATTCTGGTGGATCTTCAGTTCCTTTTGTTGTAAGGAACTGTAGAATTGTGTTTCGATTGCCAAGGGGCAAAAGATTTTTTATTTTTTTTTTGTTCTTTCACTGATTATGGCGATAGATATGGTTTCTAAATCTGCAAATTCGAGGAGGGAAATCGACTGTAACTTCCTCCCAATGGATATTGCTCTCCATATTGCTTGTCTACTTTAGGTATCATAATTGAAATTTTGGCTCTTTTCATTTTCCTTTTCCTATAATCTGGTTTGGTTGTATACACTTTGTTCTTCATCTCTGGATTAATTGTTTATCATGTTGCTTTCTTTGTTTGATACGTCGATACCAGAGTAAAGATGAACATTTGTCCATTACTAGATATGTTAGGTTTCTCGGATTCTTTTGAGTTCATATTTAAGAAATATTTTTTTTTTCACCTTGATGATCTCTATTTCTCTCTCCATCTGTTTATTGAATCCTTGAATCCTTTGCACGTTTCAGACCTCTGTTCACTGTGGTACTGTGGCAGTGCTCAGCTATGCCGTTTGATTGGAGTTTGTTTTCTTGGTATTGAATTTCTTTTGATTCTGCCCACCTGTTGTTAATGTGTTATCACACATTTTCATCATGTGTCTATTTGTCCTGTATTTCTCCATATTTCTCCATAAGTTTTTTTTTTTTTTGTGAGAGTTACATTTCTCTATATGCTTTTCTCTAAGCTTTTCATCTCTAACCATTGGTTTTCTTAAGCGAAGATATCTACCATGGGGTGTAACCCTTGGCTTTCCTAAACTCTTTTAAGGGCAAGATATCTAACACGAAGGGGCATCTCAGTCATGATTTGGCCATGCAAGCTCTAATGTTCTCTCTTTGCTGGAAGTCGTGTTTCTTTAATCATCACTTGGATCTCTCTGTCATGATTTGTTTTTGGAAAAATATTTTCATATTCTCATTTTTTAGGTTTTATTTCTCCATAAACCTAAAATTTTAAAAGATATCTTCTAACCTCCCCTTTAAACCTATTTTCTAACCTAAACAAATGTGAGAAAGACAATCTCTTTTTTAACTCAATTTTTTCTCTCTCTTCACTTATATACTCCAAATTTCTCTCTTCCTGCATCTCTCACTCTCTCTCCTCCTGTGTTTTTTCAAACACCTTTCT